TTGCCCAAAAAGGTTAATAATAATTGCAGTCTTTTAATAAGAGATTCATATAGCAAGACATGTAGAAAATACAGTCTTTAATAACCTCTGGAGTATTTTAAAACATGTCTTACAGGCCTTAATGTGCTTAGTAATATACTATTTAAAACCATAATTTTATCCCTTTGCAATATACAGTCACTCTTCCTCATCATTTACCCAGCTAATGAATGCCAGCAATTAGTAAAATGTAATCCCATTGCACAATCATTTTAATGCTTTTAGCACTCAGAAAAGTAAACACCAAATTAATACTGCTCAAGCCATATCAGATCCTAGTTGGAAGCAAGCAATTATAGTTCAGCTCCTCAGGTGTAATTAAATGATTGGAATGATTTAGTTCCATAAATGCAAGTTAATTCATAAGCAAGCAACAAATATACTGGGAGTAATTACAAGAAACATTGACAGTCTAAGCAGGACTAATTTTTTTTATGAAGCTGACATAGTAAAATGCTGTCCTCTGCTGGGCATATAAGTGAATCTCTCAGAGCTGAAAACAAAACCACCACCCTCGTCCAAAACCTAACTTCTACAGAACCACTAGAAAAAATTATACCCAATATATTAATTTGATTTCATTCCTTATACAAAATTTTTAATGTATGCATTATATTTTGATCATTTCTACCACTCTGGTAATTAATGCTTTTCCCAATCAAACTCTGAATATGAGTCCCAAAACATAATGGCATATTTGCATATATATTCCTGTATATCTAATGAAACTAAATCATTCATATATAACATTGACAGACTACAAGTGAAACTTCTAGTACCCAAACAGACCGCCAGGCCAATGCCTACAGTCTCTCACTGATAACCCCTAAGTGGCCTGTTATAGATAAAAGCTAAACTATGCTTTTATAAGTATTAAAATTCGCAAGAAAAATAACCTCTGAAAAATACAATATAAAATACTTGTCGTTATTGTGACTATACATAATGGTCTTAGATTGTTTTTAATAAATTTCAATAATAAATATAAAAATGAGCACTGGTGTAATGTCGTTAAAAGTACATTTTAAAACATAAAGAATAACAGTACAAAAAAAATGCACCTCAGTTTTACTTGTCATTCCCAACTTTTTACTTTCTTAGGGTAAAATACAGAACAAATTTACTATACTCAGATGGTTAACTAAACTTCTCACACTAAACTTTAAGAAGCTTATTCATTACACATTTGTTAAGCTATAATCAATAAGTCTGTGTTGACATATATGTATTTTTAGCACTAAACTCAATCAGAATCATCCCTTTGACTTTCTGCAAAATTGAACATATTCTCAAATAATACCAATAACACAATAAACGTTTAATTCTCTAATCAATGCAAATGATACTTGCAGAGGATAATGTTTAACACTATCAATATTTTGCGGAAGGGTGGGAGCTTTCTTGTTCTCCTAATATGCTTTCGAATGCATTAAAATAACCATTTCTAAGTCATATCCTATGCAAATTATATAAATAAAATAAATTAAAATATTAAAAAGTCCTGCCACTAAGTTTAAAATGTACAGCACATTTGATTTGCCCTTGATGTCACAGTCTTATTTTTCAATTCATATCTTGTACACTGTAAGTTAATTGCTTTTGGAAAGTACTTATTATTCATGTAAAAATTAATGTGCCAATGTGTTTAAATCCTCTTAAATGACCATTCATGCATCTTTCTTCTTTAAGTACCAATGAAAGCTGTCAAAAGACATCAATGCAATATGATCCTAAAGAAAGTTCTAATGGAGATTTTTTTGTGCTAACACAAGATTTTCATATTCACCAACTTTACTTAAATTCCATTAATTTTTTAAGCTACTTTTAATAAATTCACCAAGTAAAATTTTTAGGCCCCATAGTCTGTCATTTGTGTTCCAGCTGACATTATGAATATTAATAACAGTGTTATCCTGATTAAATAGGCTTCGTATAAAATCCCTGTGAATCCTATAGCTCAGACATCTCATTTTTCCAACTCTTTATGAATTTGGATTCCGACATTAAACTGGAAAAATCTTAAAAAACAGATTTAATGGCACATTTGCATATTGTCAAGCAAAAAATTAGATGTTCTAATGAATCAAATAATTATAACTTATATACCTACATATTCCAATAGGAACAGATGATTTCTGTAAACATGCAACATATTTTACACTTCTATTTATTTCAGGACAAAGGATTAAGACTAATAAAATAGTAATTTGTTTCCTTACTCTTACCTTAAAGATTTGATATCAATAACTTGTTTTAACTAAAAATTATATATTCACGTTAAAACTTGTGGGATGATTTTTCAGTGGACAGCTGATAAATGAGGCTTCTTAATCAAAAAGCTAACTTACTACAGCACAAACAAAATATAAGTTAATTGCTTTATAATTATTAATGTATATCTCAGGTTCAAGTAGCAAAATAAAACTGATTTCCAACTCAAGTTTGTTTATAAGTAGTGCCGGAAAAAATGACCCATGTTAAAGAAGAAAAAGAAAATCTTTACTATAACAGATAGAACATAACATATTAGCATCTGTTAAATTAAAATCTTTTCCATCAAAGATTCCTAACCTCATTCCTCCAAGTTGTTTTTAATTCTCAAAGTGAGTCTTATTATATAGAAAAATAAATAATAATAACAAAACTGTACATACACCATTCTCTCTATAGGTATATAGGAATCTGTATATATCTGCCAAAATTTCATAACTTCACCCTATCAAAATACATAAATTGAAAAAATTTAACATCTCTGTGCTCTCAAATATAACCTGACTCTCCCAAAGTTTACTCAGCAGTAAAACGCCTCATGAAACAAAATTTGTTCTTTGACCAGCCTAAAATTTCTAATCTGCCTAAAAAATTTTAACTGATTCTGACATTTATTCTTTAAAATTAAATGTCTTTTTGATAAAGAGGCATTCAAAAATGGGATTTTATTCACCAATGTAACTCCACTCAGGACTTCTTAAAAATGAGATGCCATTTCTACCTTCCTCCACAAAAGCCACATTATGGCAAAAGTTTTTGGCTGACTCTGGTTAATGGAATTTCCCCCTTAATATCTCCTTAGTTTAATCACAAATTTGTGTAACTTGAATCCAATAGTGTCAAACTAGGAATCATTTATAATACTGCCTCATATCCGACTGTAACTCTAAAAAACTCGAATTTCATATTTCCTAGACTGAGAAATGTCTGTAATTTCTGCATTGAAATGATTTCATTAAAAGGCTAAAGGAGAGCACTGTATTTCTGAGAGCCAAACATTTTAGCACATAATTCAACATATACAACATATGTATATGTTCTACTGCTGGATTTCATCTTATTAGACAAAAGTCTCTCAAACATTCACAGTCCCTTGGACATTTTCTCCCCAAAAGAATTCCTTTCATTCATAGTGCTTCATATCACAGCCCACTCATGCCCTACCAAGCTCCAGAAAACCCAAGTTCCTCAGAGCTAGGGAAGCAAGTAGAGGTTTAAGGAGAAAGGATAAGGGATAAAAGTGGCCCCACACCACAGCTATTAAAATTTTAAATTGCATTATACAATTTGACCCCTCAGTTCCACTACAAAAGTATTTAAAATATATTAATATTAAAATAAAACATTTTATGTACAAAGATAATTATTGAAGCAGTATTTATTTGTAAGAGAAATGACTTGTGCTCCAATCATAGTGAATGCCTTTCTGTTCATTGAACTCACCAAGCTTTTTTTCCTTTTTCTTTTTTTTTTGTCTCAGAGCTTTTATACTACCATTCCCTCTGCCTAGAATCCTCTTCTCTATAACTCTTGTCTCTAGGTCTCTAAACCATTTTTCTCATCATTTAGGCCTTGCTCAAAAGGTTTTGCCTGGCCATCCTATGAAAATAGAAACTCCTTTCTCATCACATTACCTATACTACCGCCTTCATGAAACTAATTTGGGGTTTATTTCATTGTTTTCAATACATCTCAGTCTACTATGTGTATGAAAGTTACATGCAAGCAGGGCCCTTGATTTTCTTTTTCATTTGTATCCTTAAAAGGGTGTTTGGCATATAGTAAGTACTTAGTGTATATTTGCTGGACAGACAGGTAGATAGACAGATGACTAGCAGAAAAACAGACCTAACATAAATGTTCAGCAATATAAAACTGGTAAAATAAAATGG